TATGATAACTTTAAAAGATCTCCAAAATTTCAAAGCAATCGGTTTGTAGTTCCTGATTAAATATATAAAATAAATTCACGAATTCATTAATTTTTTTGAGTCATCCTGTATATACAAATCAAAAAAATATGAATGGAATGATAAATCTCAAGTACACACTCATCATATTTTGTACATTTTAGATAGAATTTATTCATCAAAATTTTGGGGTGGCGTCATCAATTTTTTAGGGGGATGAGCAAATCCATTTTCATGAAAAAATTACCATGCTTATAATAACTTTGAAACAACTCCAAGTTTTCAAAGCATTCGGTTTTGTAGTTCCTAATTAAATATATAAAATAAATTCACGAATTTATTAATTTTTTTGAGTCATCCTGTATATACAAATCCAAAAAATATGAATGGAATGACAAATCACAAGTACAGACTCATTACATTTTGTCCAATTTAGATGGGTTATAATATTTATTCAGCAAACTTTAAGTAAATATATTGTGATTAAAATTTTATCATGCTTAATATAACTGTAAACTATCTGCAAGATTTCAAAGCACTTGGTCTTGTAGATTCCAAATAAAATGTCAAAATGTTGTTACCTAATTTTGATTTTTTTTCCAAAAATCTGGACGTTTCGGGTAAAAACTCAATTCGGAGTCATAAACTACATGTGTACGACTATGTTATTTTATAGGATTTAAAACCCATTTACTATGTACAATTGTGAAGTGACGTCATCGCATTAGTGGTGGGGATGATTAGACAAATTTTGGTTAGCGTTTTACCATCTACATGATATTCCTAACATAGTACAACATTTCACAACAATCGGTCGGGTACTTTCGTAGATTATCTGTCTAATAAAAATCCGGGACGGCAGACAGACGGACAGACGAACAGACGGACAGACAGACGGAAACGGGAGACCTATTTTTTCGTCCTCTAGGGGTCATGAAAGGTCGAGAAAACGTAAAAGTAGAGAATCGGCTGACAGTCTCGATTATAATACTTCGTTTACTTACGCTCGGGAAGTGAAAATGTTAATGCAATGATACATTACAAGTATAGACTGATTACACTTTGCACATTTTAGATACGATTTATTCGGCAAAATTTTGAGTTGACGTCATCAATTTTTTAGGGTTGATTTATAAACATATACATTTTGATTAAAATCTTACCATGCTTAAAATGTCTGCGATTCAGTTTTGCAATACTTCATTTAATGAATAAACTAAATTTACTCAGTAATTAATTTTTCGGACACCCTCTATAAGCAAATCCAAAAATATTAATGAAATGGTAAATCACAAGTAAGGATTCATCATATTTTGGATATTTTAGAGAGGATTTATTCGACAATACTTTGCTGACGTCATCAGATTTTTGGAGGGGATAAGTAAATATATTTTGAATAAAAATTCATCACGCTTATCATAACTTTCAAACACTTTCAAGATTTCAAAGAATTCGGTTTTGCAGATTCAAAATTAAATCGCAAAATACTGTTTTATAATTTTCCACTCAAAAACATTATCACACTCAGCTTCGCCTCGTGTGCTGAACTGTTTTTTCGTTGGATAAAATTCACTTTTATTCACTTATACCATAAATAGCTATTATTTCGTTTGATGTATTATTTTCCTCAGGTTAATTTAATTACGAGTCCTCATGGATAAAAAACGTGTCTGTTTCGACTGTGTTCCGGTTATTTTCTTAATAAATCATAAAGAAAGTCGATTTAATACTTGGTTTTACGATGTTAAAAGGTTTCAAATGAATGTAGAACATTTTGAAAAACAAATAAAGCCCTTTGTTTTTTGAAAGATTCTACTTCTATGTTTATTTATTGGCTAGAATTTAAAATATCAAATAGGTTATTATTAATGTTTCTTATAAATTGAATCGTACTGACAGCTGCTTGTGGCAGTAAATTGTTTGCTAGGTCGGTCTCCATTCCCGCAGCTACAGTGTGGCTGAATAATTGGGGTGCGAATTTCACCTGCATCTTGTCAAATGGACCTGGATTTATATGGTTAATTTAGGTGCATAACGAAGAGCACGTGCATTGTCTTTTTCGAAAAAGAATTTTACATATTCACTATCTATCAATTCATCATCAACAGTTACGAATTTATATTTCAGAAAGTTATTGCGTAATGCCTTTAGCAGATGGCATGGATCAAAAAAATAATAAATTTTGGTATCATCGTCATTAACACAAAAGAATGGATTGTCAGGGCTGATATTAATTGAAGCTGCAAAGTTTAAAAAATTTGACCCCACGTCAGAAATGAAACCCCTAATTTTTAATCCTATTGCCCGTAATTTTTTAATGATATCAAAAAGTAATTTTTTAAATTCGGTTGCGTCACAAGATGTGTTTACAAATACATAAGCGATAGGTTGTTTCCAATTTGCAAATATCCCCCGAGCCATGATGGCAAGTACATTATTTGCTGGAAGACATTGCTTTTCGTTGTCAACATGATGCAAACCAATTACTTCGTCACATCCAATTTCGTAAAATAGATTGGTTTTCATGCTCATTTCGTCAGCAATAAGTACACATTCGCGTTCGTCCTCATTTAAATATTCAATTTTTGATTTTAAAATTTCAAAAACTACGTCGTTAATGCCGGGATTAATGACAACCTGACCTGTAAATCGTTGTAGGGTTCTTATGAACGGAAGACAAAATGTTGTTTTTAAAAAACGATAAGCCATGGGGGACAAAAAATATATGTTTAACGCAAATTGTTTAAACTCCGGATTATATTTTTGTTATTTTTTTTATGCTGTTCTACCTGTAGTTTAATGGCTTTGGCCAAATTGGGTGGCAATAATGTGTCACACAAATTTTCGAAGAGTGCTACCTTTTGTTCATGGCTAAGTTCTGCGTCTGCTTTTTTTTTCTTTTTTCAGCTGTCGGCGCAATTTCTGTTTTCTTGGAGTCCGTGCAGATAGAGTGGCTTCTGTTTGGCTTGAAACATCCCGTTGCAATGTTACTCCAGACGTGGACGGGATCGGCTCTTCTACAGCTACTGCTTCTGTTGGAGTGTACGTGGATGTCGAAGTGAGTACGCTCAAATCTGTTTGGGTTTCTGGGAGACTTGCAGTTGGAACTTGTGTGGAATGATAGGAAATTGGAGGAACGTCCTGCTGAAACGCAGCTAAACGTTCTGAAAGAGATTTGGAGCATTTATTATACTAAATTTATTAAATAGGAGTATTATTTATGTTTGACACAATCATAACAATGTCATTTATGACACTTGCAACTGTCTATAGTCTACCATTTTATTGGTAAAATAATTTGGAGTGCAACACAATTCTTTCAACTGTGACAACGGCAGTGCGTACAACAAATTATTAACGATTTTAAAATAGAGGTGAAAAAGTTGCAAAATTTCTGGTGTTGAGTCAAACATAAAGGTGTGTATGTCACGCGTAAATAATGCTTTTTATTGAACTTATTTTTTTATTAGCCTCGTGAGCAAGTTCGCTCGGCCATAAAGGGGGTGTCCAATAAAGCTATGCATTATTTACTTGTAACAGAAATAGCTATTATTAACATTCTTGTTATACATACATACTATTTGATTTGTAAGAAGGCACTGGACTCCACTCACCGACTCTTAGCAACCAATAATGGAAATTTTGGGTTTACTGCGTAACCCGTGAAATGTGAAGATAAAAACAATAATTGTGGTTTGTACAGACTAACGGTTTTTTTTTCATTTTCACCTTCTGATGGGCTCAAAAATGTGGAGTGGCAAGTGCCATCTTAGAAATCGAAGTGTAGTATTGTATTTTTACCTGTTAGTTGCTTAGTTGGTACTGCATCAAAGTGGAGACGGTTTTTTTGGGGATTTGCAAACATTTTATCCTCAAAATGTGTTGCACATATTCTGTAAGCTTCTCTATTGATATGTGGGTTACTGAGCAAATCTCTGCGCCCCACAGCAAGAGCCCAACTTTGAAATCTGTAAAGAAATATTTGTTATTGTATGTTGGTTGCTATAAAACTGTTGTTGTTATGAAAGTGTTTCTACTTTATAGTTTTATGTTCTATCACCTACCTACTGCTTTCACAAGGAAAGCGAAAAAAGCTATGGTTGCAGTTCTTCGTACTGTTGCGACACAGTCGAGCAGCACAATAACAGGGCTTACTTTTTCCACTTTGCGTATTACTCATTGTTTTTTAATTGTTTATTATAAAGTTAATAATTGTAACTATAAAACTCAATCACTAACACTACTCACTAAATACTGTAACCTAAAACAAGCAACCAACAATTGCTATACTAATTGTAATACTGAAAATTCAACAAAATTAATGATGCACTGAGACAACCGCAAGGGATGAACGCTGGTTAAAAAGTGAATATTGTTACGTTCTGTTCTACGATGGAAGAAGTAAAACGCATTTAAGTGGTTCAAGAGCTTTATTTTCCATTTTTCATTAATACAGTTTTATTTTTATATTTATTTAAGACATGTGAAGTGTTTGTTTGTTAGGTACATCTCAGTTGGTTCCTTCAACTTATTTAGCGTCGACACGACGCTGTAAAGACGTAGAAGGGCAACAGTGAAAAAGATTTAGATATTTCTGTTTACAATTATTTGTCTCGTCTTGGGAGCGGTGAAGTACCTACTCGACGTTCGTGTTGCTTAGTTCATTACTCCGTCGGTCCCGAATTGAGTGTCCGATATGGAAATAAAATTTTTTAAGTGTTTGTAGGTCTTTAACCCAAAGAATAATATTTTTATTATCAGCATTTTTAAGTGAATAGAACGCTCTCATACTAGATTTACTGGAATATTACAATCTGCTTATTGTTTCCTTCATTTTAATTCAGTTCACACGAACTACAATTGCGGTGAAACAATATTATTATTTATCATCGACTATTTAAATTTGGCGCTTGCCTTTGGCGGTTGAGGACTCCAATGTCAATAAGGGTGGTTTGGAAAATCAGCCTCTATGTCGCTTCTTTATGTTCTCTGGTATCACCGTAGTTTCGGTGACAAGGCGCGAAAATGCGAACAGCCATGTGAATACCAAAAAAACGGGAACAGCAGTAGTCGAAGCAACTGGCCGCCCACCTAACAAGTGTCGCCTATTCGTAACCGACCGCGACAGTAAGACTGAGTTTCTGGTGGACACGGGTGCCGACGTTTGCGTATTTCCCAAGAAACTGGTGTATGGACCGCGCAAAAGTGACGAATATAAACTGTTTTCGGTGACCGGTACACCATTTTGCACTTATGGACTTGTGACTCTGTCACTCAATCTCGGCCTGCGACGCGAATTTCGTTGGACTTTCATTATAGCCGACGTCGACTACGCCATAATCGGTGCCGATTTCCTACACCATTTTAACCTCCCGGTGGACATACGAAACGGATGCTTGACAGACCCACTCACAAAAATAAGTATGAACGGACAGGTGTGCAGCGTCGAGGTGCCAACAATAAAAACTCTAGTGAACGATCCGCGCAACAAATTCCTAAAAGTGAGACCGCAAGTCACACGCGACGGTCAGAAAGCGAAAACGGTCCATTTCATTAAAACAACAGAAGGGCCGCCTGTAACCAGCAGACCTAGACGCCTCCCTCCAGGGAAATACAGCGCAGCTAAAAAGGAGTTCGAAGGGATGGTCAAGGAAGGAATCGCCCGGCCATCCAAGAGCAACTGGTCCTCACCGTTACATGTAGTGCCCAAGAAGGATGGAGATTTACGACCGTAGTCTGAACGCCCGGACGGTGCCAGATTGCTACCCACTGCCCCATATCGAATATTTTTCCCAAGCGCTACATGGCAAGAAAGTCTTTTCAACAATTGATTTGGTTAAAGCCTACCACCAAATAGGGCTTTCCACCAAAGTTTAAAATCAAATTTTAACTAAACATTCTGAAACAATATCTAAATACATGTACAAAAAACAAATTTGAACTATTTATAAAAAATTATCGCTTTGAAAAAAATTGTCAAAATAATAGAAGAGTTAGAGACCGGCTCAAAGTTGCAGTATTTCGCGGTTAAAAGTGTAACCAATCACTTTGAAGCGATGGCAGCGATGCTGTGTTGCCAAACCTGCTGGTTTATTATATTGAGGTAGGTCAGAGTGTGCACGTGTTTTTGATCAACTTGGCCTGTTCGTTTTATTCCTTAAATATAAACAAATTAAATAGAAAAAATTGGCACGATGGCGAAACAGTGTTTCTTCGTTGGGTGTGATAATAACTCTACAAATAATCCAGAAAAATTATTTCTTACTGTTCCCCAAAAAGTGGATCGGAGGAAGTTATGGTTTGAAGCTGTGGGAAGAACATACATACCTGGGAAAAGTTTGTACTGTTGTGAAGATCATTTTGATGTAAGTATAGTAAATATTTCAAAAATTTGTATGTTGGTATCTACTTGTATCACCTTATTAACAAATTTTCTTTAATAAAGTTGGAAAAGGATGCTGAAAATTGGATTCATTTCAAATTAATGGGTACACGCCTAATGTTAAAAGACAATGTGGTTCCAAGAAGCATAGTGAGGAAAGAAACTTCGTCCCAATTCACACCAACTTCAAGGAAACGTAAGATGGAAACACAACAGCACAGTAGAGGGCTTCGAAGGAAACTGTTTCCTGAACCTACTGTACCTGGTACTTCACAGGATGTAACAGAGGATGTAGAAGACCTGCAATTAAAAACAGTGGCTTCACCATCTGGCATGTTTGTTAGTGCAAAATCGCCAGAAAAATCAGTTTCTCCTTTAAGAACAAAAAGGAAAACTCTTAGAAAAGCAACTCAGACAAGAGTTAGCACAAAAGATTAGTCATCAATGACCTCAGTTGAAGTGGCAGATAAAAGCACAAACACTCTTCGATCATTATCGTCACAAATATATCAAAGCCCCCACAAACCTATTCAGGGATCATCAACATCATTGTCATCATCCTCCCTTTCACTCCAAAGTGGAAGTGTTTATGAGCCATCATCGGAGTCATTGCATGAAACTAATATGATGATATCCAAAGAACTATTGGTGAAAGTGGAAATATTCAAAATTGAAAATAATAGCAGATTTTATCTGGGCTTGCCCAAGTCAGAATTTTTTTTCATCAAATTACTCCAGGAAGAATTAGAAGTTCCTGTAGAACATATTTATATCGTTCTTAAGAAAATACGAACAGATGACCAATTTGTACGATTAGGGACAGATTTTGCATTAAGCACTAGTGGTGTCAGTAATATATTTTCAAAAACATTGCCAAAAATGGCTACAAAACTCAACGAGTTAATTTTTTGGCCTGAGAAAAGTAAAATTCAGCGAGTTCTACCTAGGCAGTTTCAGACGTATTATAAAAATGTTGAAGCAATCATTGATTGCTTCGAAATACAGGTTGAAAGACCTAGTGCAGCTTACCAGCAAGCTTTAACCTGGAGCAATTATAAAACTTGTAACACATGCAAGTATTTAGTGTCAAGTACTCCAAATGGGCTAATTAATTTTATATCAGAAGGGTTTGGAGGTCGCACATCAGATGTAGAAATAATTAAGCAATCAGGGTCACAGTAGATCAGTAACGAAACTTCAGCAATATTTGCGGAACGGGTGTGACCTTGGGAGCCCGTTCCCGGGAAACACGAAGATTCAAATATTTCGTAGCATTCGTATGTGATTCATATAATACTAATAATAATTGTACACAAAAATAAAAATGGTTGGCATGTACTAGTGACATTGGTCATTTTTTTCTTTCCTATAAATTATTAATATATTCAAGCAAAACATTTTTATTCAATTTTGACGTTTTAAACTGCGTTTATTAAAACCTTAACAAGTCTGACAAATAAGTTGTTATCCACAAGTGAATTGCAAAATTTTTAATTCACTCTTAATATTTTTAAATCACTCACAAAAAAATAAAAAACAACTTCAGGAACATAAACATTTTGCTTATTATTTTTAATAGTTTTCACATAATACAATTTGTTTACAATTTTCACTAAAAGGTTGCTGCAACTAAATCAGTATTGTTTGACATATTTGTTTGGCTCTGTGAGGCGTCAATTTGGAAATTGTATAAATCCCACACCAATAGAATTCCAAAGAACGTTTCGGAAACTATTTACTACAGATTATTTCGATACAAGTGCAAGAACCAACTGTGAAACACTATTTTATTTGAAATGAAAAATTTGCCAAGGTGTTCTTTTAAATAAACTTCCACAACACATCTTCCCTGTATTCCGGTCTCTTCAACAATCATTAAGTGATGTGAGTTACCGGAAACTCACCTTGAAAGAACACAACTGTTTATGGTATGTTTGTGGATATTCATTAATACGAAAATTCTTACACCACCACTTCTGCGAAGTTTGTGAGAACTTTGCACATTCTTACGAAGTGGTACATCCTGTTTTAATTCTGTGACATTTTAAAGTTTTCAATGAAGATGTGATTTTTGGCGATTTAATGATGCCACCTGAACATTTTGCAGTTTATACTCTGGTAGTGGGTAATACATTTTGTGAGTTTTTCCCAATTTATGCACTGTATTCGTTAACTGGTTTGCGGCTAAAAAACGAACCATACAAAAATACCATTCCACCACCCCTGCAAAGACTTTCCTCTTGATTACCTCGTCTCAGTTTTTATTAGAGTTAGAATTTTTTACACACTAAAATTTAAAAATTAATCTTGGACCGCTCAAACACGCACACATCGAAAATTAAACTATTTCGTTTAACCTGCAGTTTGTTGACCTCTTTAGCCTGGAATTTTCTAGTATTTTTTACATGTATCGTAAGACTGTGTCGTAAGTATCTATTACTTTGTTACAATAAATTTTACGTTTGTTTTTAACCCCATAACCCAACATCCCGTATGATTCCGTAAATAATATGACATTTCTTGTTGACAAAACCAGACAAAACGTTCACCGAAAACCTTAAAATGAAAAAGAAACTATGTTCTTCAAGGTCGGAGCACCTTTAGTGACGCCAGTGACCTCTTTATGTCGTTCCGTAAGCTCCCCATGTATTTCTTATGGAGTCAGCTGAGACTTTCATAGCCCTGTCAGGGTATTTGACCGTTGTACCTGAAAATGCAACTGTAATGACTGATAGGGGCTTCAAGCAAGTAGCAGGGCTTTTCCAGAAAAAAAAGGTGAATCTAGTTAGACCTCCCAGCGTCACAAGCACCAGAAAAATGACGAAGGATGAGGTACGTCAGTCAAAACTTGTCGCAGCGTTGAGGATCCACATTGAAACATTAATTCGTAGGATCAGAGAATTTCGAATGTTGGGTCCACATGCTACCACAGATCATAATTTGGTGCCACTTTTGGATCATATTGTAATTGTTGCTTGTGGTTTGATAAATTTGCAAGGTCCATTAATACAATAGTTTTTACATGGTTTTTATTTGTATTTTATTGGAAACAATAAATTAATTGTATAAATAGAAGCATTTAACTTTTTTTTATTGATACTAGGGGATTGGGGTATAACGGGATTTAGATTTATTTATTATTGAAATGAATAAGAAATAATTATGAAATAAATGAGTATAATTATTGAAAACATCAGTTAATTAAAATTGGAAAAATCGCTTTTTTCCAAAAAGCTTGTGCCTGCTCCATTACATTGTGACAAAAATTTTCATCCAAAGGAATTTCCTTTATAGTCACATTTCTGTCCGTTTCAAAAGATGGAGATGCAACACAAAATAAACCCCATTGTTTTTTACTAAGAAACATTTGCAGCTGCAGTTGTGCATATGGTTTAGGAGTTATTTCACCCTCTGGCGTAATGTAATTTTTTACAGTATTTGTCTTTATTGGACATTTTATTTCAACGCAATATTTATCAGACATTGCATCTGCCGATGCACCAAATATTGGGTACATATGATTTATGGTCATTCCTACTCTTTCTAATTTAATATTTTTCTCCTCAGCTATGACTTTTAAGACATCTTATTCAAGGTTAAGGCCTCTTTTCATGGCCTTTGTTCCTCTAAATTTTGATGCTGCCAGAACTGCAGCAGTTGTAGCTCCATCAACAGTTTTGCAGTGAGCAACTTCATGCAGTTTTGAAGCTGTTATTCTTGCATATCTAACATCAAACCAGGCTTTAGATTGCGACTGCAATATTGTTAAAGTATTTATACTTTTGCAAATTTCACTATTTAAATTATTTTGGCAAAACGATATGAAGTCTTCTGCATTTGGTGCATCAGTCGTTTTTTTATAAGAAAGACATAAATGGTACAACGAAGCTTTCTCCAAAATATTCACTGCACTCTTATACACCGTAGCAAGAATTGAATGACTATCTGATTTTAATGCGGTAGAAATTACTTTGTCCAAAAATGCCGTTCCTTTTGTTGGTAAAGAAGGAACTTGCCGAAAATTAAACAACTCTCTCATTCTTTGCCCTTTTATAGTACTGCCAACTTTAGACAGAGTAGACTTCCTCCAATAACATTCAACAGAAGTCACTGAAGGCTCCAAGGTACGTCTGTATAACCAGAACAGTAAGGCTACACCATGTTTACAACCACCTGAAAAGTAGACGTAATACATACACTCATACAACATAAAATCATTCATACCTTCACTTGCAGCACAGTCATAACACTTTGAGTCAATTATGCATTGTTCAGACTCATTTATTCTTACTGAAACTTCATAGCCTTTTAGGCGAACTTTATGTTCTGGTGCAATCAAAGCTTTGACAGTACAAATCTCATCGTGTCGTCTCAACTGCACATAACCAACAGCATCGTCGCCGTAAGTTGCACGAGCTCCACTATAACAATGAATAATTACTATCAAATCATTATTACGTTGTACACTTTCCCGTTCGGTTTTCACATTTTCAACACCTGGTATCAGAAAATTCACATTTCTTCGATAATACAAATCTATCATTACATCATCAACTACAGGGAGATTGGTAGAAGTAGCTTGCTCATATTCACTTTCCATTGTGATTATTTCTTCTGTGCCGTATTTTCCCAGATAATCTTCCTACACAATTTTAAGTTGTAAGTCGCTGTAAAAGGTTTTGGTAAGTGGTAAATATTAAACGGCCAATTCTACTCACCGTGTTTAAACAAACAATGTCAAATAATGGAAACGACTGACTTTTTAAATAATTTTAAGCTTCAATGAGAGCAAATTACAAAACGTTAACACTAAGATCGACCAAACATAAATAAACCTAACCTATCATAACCCAACAAGAATTCAAGATGGCTAAATACCGATGTCGTCTAACTTTAAAGCAGCGTGAGCGGAGTTGCCACATCGCTACGCTGATCCCATTGGTCAGCGTTACGTACGTCATCATGACGTACGTAATGCACAACTTAACCGCGGGAAAAAATCACTTTAAATTTAACTTTTTTTTTTTGAGTTATTGAAAAGTAAAAAAAAAATATTGACCACATCTTCGCATTTTGTAGACGATATTCTTTCGTGTGGTGCATTAAAAAAAAAATCGTGGAATACCCTATTCCTGTGAACCCTGACGTACCAAAAACAGCCATAACAACGCCATTTGGCCTATTTGAATTTCCGTTCATGACGTTTGGACTGAGAAATGCAGAACAAACGTTCCAGAGGTTTATTGATGAGGTTACTCGAGGATTGGATTTTTGTTTCACCTACATCGATGATATCCTGGTGGTGTCCACGACGGAAGAGCAGCATGTAGAGCACCTCACACAAGTCTTCGAAAGGTTTACTCAATATGGCGTAGTAATAAATCCTACGAAGTGTTGTTTTGGACAACCCACAGTAAACTTCCTGGGATACAGCATATCAGCGCAAGGCACGAAGCCACCGGAAGATAGGGTGCAAAGAGACCAAAAAAAGCCCAAGACTCTCATGGACCTAAGACGATTTTTAGGTATGGTGAACTTCTACCGTAGATTCATACCGAAAGCCGCTCACATACAAGCACCGTTAACGCAGGGGGACCTAGCATTACAAACGCCACAGATTATTGAATGGGACAACTCTACCATTGCAGCGTTCGAAGAAACCAAAAACTCACTGGCACAAGCCACACTCCTGACACACCCTTCACATAGTGCGCCCTTGTCAGTGATGGTAGATGCTAGTGACATAGCAGTCGGGGCCGTACTGCAACAGTGGTCCGAAGCATGGCCACCACTAGCGTTCTTCACACAGAAGCTATCTGGCACTCAGAAACGATACAGCGCATACGACTGGGAGCTTCTGGCTGTCTACCTAGCTGTCAAAAAGTTCCGTTACTCTTTGGAAGGTCGCACCTTTACAATTTTCACCGACCACAAGCCGCTGATATACAGTTTCAACCAGAAGCCTGAAAAAGCATCGCCACGGCAATTCCGTTATTTAGACTTTATTAGTCAATTTACAACGGACCTCCAACACGTATCAGGAAAATTAAATGTACGCGCAGACGCCCTGTCACGCCTAGACGCCATCCAATCCACGTCACTCCAATTTCTGGACTACAAGCAGCTGCAACAAGCTCAAGAAAACGATGCGGAGCTAAAAAAATTATTATAATCAACCACAGGCATGCAACTCAAATCGTTTTATTTTTTAGATAGCCAGATCACATGCGACACTTCAATGGGCACCATTCGCCCTGACACCAGCTTCAGAAAAATAGAGTTCCTCAAACTGCACAATCTATCATATCCTGGGGTTAGAGCATCCATAAAGCTGGTAAAACAACGTTTTGTCTGGCCATGGCCGACTAGTATAAAGATTATGGCCTGTCCAAAGGAATGCCAAAGGTACCATACGTGCTGCCATCTATTAATAATTCAAAAGCGACAAAAGAATTATTAACACTTTTTGAAAGGCACAAAGGCATTCATACCGAAACAAACCACCATTACACGTTTTGAAGTCCCATAATGTCAAGTCAAATTAAAATTTGGCTAAATTATTAAGTGTAATTATTAATAGATGGCAGCACGTATCGTACCTCTTGGACAGGCCATAATCTTTATACTAGTCGGCCATGGTCTGGCCTAGTATCGAGAAGGATTGTCGTAACTGGGCGCAGCAGTGTTTGGCATGCCAAAGTTCTAAAATTCAGCAACACACGAGATCCACAGTCAAACAGTTTGCGACTCCATCAAGGGGGGTTCAAGTTGGTCCGGGGTAGTTTAGTTTAGACCTAGCACCAGCTAAAATATTTGCATATATGTATTTGGCAGTCACCTTGTATAAAATAGAAAAACTGCGTACTACGTCCACAGATGTAAAAATACTTACCGGTTTAGGGCAGGCGCGACGAAACAAAGTTCGTTCTTGAAGAATAAGTTCAGGAAAAGGTTTACTCCATAAATTAATTTGAGTTATCTTCGACATATTGATACACCTTTAAATGGTTTCAATACAAACTCACGATGAAAAATAATAATAGTATAACGTCCCTTCGACCACCACTAAATGTACCATCAGAGGCGGATCTAGACTGTTGGGGGCCTGATGCTATTATTTAATTGGGGCCCCATTTATGAATAAAAGTTTGTTAGAAGCATTTAATTTACACATTTTAATTTTTTTAATATAAAAAAACAATAACAAAAAATACAAAAATAAAATATAATAAACAAACAGAAACAAATTATATAACAATTTTCTTTCTGCACTTGATGTCAGCACATGGTAGAAGGAGACATGGTATAGGCATCCGATGTACCAATTTAAAAATGGTCTGCGCATCCATTTGTGACGTTAGGTGGCATCAACGACCTTGTGACTCTTGTGAGCTTCGCTAGGGAAGTCTAGGGAATTTCAGCTTGAGTTGTCAGTGCTCTTTCCAATACGTCAATTAGTTGTCGGATAACGAATTGTATTTTAAATTTCGCGCTAATTTCACCCCACTTGACGTCACAGCCGATGCGTATGCCTATACCATGTCTCCTTCTACCATGATGTCAGCATACGTTCGTATGGCGCTGTCATACGTAATTGACCTTGTGATGTCATTCTCAATTGCAAGAATCGACAAGAACTTAGTCTTTCATTTTTCAGCCCTTTCAGCTTCACAACTGGTCACTGGCAGCACAGTATACTATACAGTAGAGACAGCTCGTCAAATATTGGAACAACGTGTCCTTACCCAACCGTTTTTATTAGGCGGGATTTTTAAACTAAGTGGAATATTGGTTGCCTAAATTACAAATACAGCTGGTCCGTAGAACAATGTAAAAGGAACTGATATAAACATCAGATGAATATTAATAAATTGAAACCAATTTTTGGAGTGTGGTATGAAGACTACGAAGAAAATACCATTTTGCATAATAAAAAAGAATTGTGCTTATATTTATTTTATTCATTAATAAAAGTCTATCACTTTACCAAGTTAATTTCAACATAAACATATCAACTACCTATTTTGTCAATGCCTTCAATTTTCGCCAAGTGTGAGCCGTTTGAAGAGTCAGAAAGTGAACGCTGTTGTTTTCATCTTCCCTGGGAAAAGTACTTTGATGTTTTTGGTTGAATTTTTGTTGTTAGTTAAATTAGTGAAGTGATTCTGAGAACCTTTTCATTGTAACATGGACTACAGTGGTAGACCACCTCCTGATTGCAGGCACAATGAAAAAACCTGCTTCAGGGGCTTTTTTAAATTTCCCTTGGAATCTGTAAGATAAGAAATATAAAGAAGTATATTATTCTATAAACAATAAAAAATTATTTGGTATGCAATTTTTACATCACAGTGAAAATGCCAATAGTTGTAATGATTTAGGATCTATTTTACTAGCAATTGTATCTAAAGAAAGTAACCAGTGTCAAATTATTAATACAATTTTAAGCTGAACAACTTTTGCACATAAATCTGTGGAAGTAAATATGACAGACTACAGACATCTGGACATGGGGGAACAAAATTCTTTAAGTTATGTCTGTGGGTACTTAATGAAGAAATGCTTGATGAAATATACCTGTGAAATATGTAGTTATTTTGCCGTTGCATGTAATGTCATCATATATGATAAACTTCTCTGTCACTTCAACGCCTTTGATGATGATCCACCATTTGGTAATCCTAAAGCTGGCCATTCACGTTCCAACGTCCCAGTACGATTGTATTGGATGCAACTGTTGTACAATTCTGTTAAAAAGCAGCAGTACACACACACACGTTACGACCTAGCAGTTAAAAATTTGCGATCGTGATGACAACATGTCCGACGAAATGACGAAAATGTACTTTTATAGCATCTCTCACGGTTTGAATAACATACACTGTCGAGTCATGTCCACACACGATCAAATTTCCAACCAATACAACACGATTGTACTGCTGCAGACAGACTTGTTCACCAACCGTCCACATCCAACTGATTTGCTTGATCGCATACACAAACGTTCAAAAACACTTCAATTTAGTTGTAACAAACACAGTAGTACAGCGGCGTTGGAACGTGAGTTACGAGCTTAAGATGCTACATGAAGCATTCACCTTTTATGTTGCAGCCCTAGAAAAACGATTTGCTTCACTATTTTCTACCAACTCAATTTTACCTTCATGTGGCCGATATATAAAAGCAGCCCTCGTAACTGTGTCCATACCAGCATACCACACCCCTGTCCCTGTGTACAGTTTCCACAAGATTGTTTATTTTATTTATTTGTTCGAATGCGCATTTTCTAATCAGTAAAAATAATAAATCACAGTTACAATATTAAATACCAAACATCTAAAATGTCACATTTGACGCACAATGTTGACATGGTGGTAAATTTTATTTAGTAACAAGGTTTGCCACTACAGTTTCAGGCCAAAATTCAAGGTCATGTCCTTACCCAACGGTCGATAATAATAATTGTTGTTCTAGTCCGTTACGTGCATTTCTTATGGGCCTTTCAAAAGCTGTCCTTACTGTATGATATGCTGTGCTGGCAGTGTCAAGAAGATCTTAACTACTGTGTACAGATTCAGGAAAATGTCAATGAGGTTTTTTTTAAAAATGCAGTCGAGTATATCTGAACATGTTACAGTACGTTTCTGAGCTAAGTCAGCAGAAATTTTTAAATATTCCTTAAATTGTAAACATTCATTCTTGAATCCTAATTCATGTCCTCACTGTAACACTGTAAAACACAGTCAACGCTGTCTTCGTCAATATGTGCTACATGT